ACAATTTACACACACTAACAAATTTAACAAAATTAAACGAACTAATTGATTTTTAGCTGTGAATAATAGTAAATATAAATTATTTACAAAAAGCAATATTAACAAACAAAAATTTATTTTCAAAAAAAAAATTTACAAAAAATTATTATTTACATAAAAAAAAATTACAAAAATTTTATAGTCTTCTGCAAGCAATTAAGTATGTTTTGAAAATAAAATATATTCTTATAAATAACATTTTTCTAAAAAATAACAAATGTGTTTTCCAATCTAACTTATTCAATAATTTAAAAAATACAAGCTATAAAAAATATTATCTATAAAAAAATTATTAAAAAAAAAGATATTTAAAAAAATTGCAAATATTTTATTTAGCCTTTTTCAGACAAATATGTTTTAAAAATAAACGTTTTTCTTGAAAATTAAAATTTTATTTTTTAATAAATTTTGTAATTTTTTGTATATGTATATAATATTATTTTATAGATAATATATTTGTTTATAACATTTTTTTAAAATTATTTACAAAATTACAGAAATACATAAAAATAAAAAATAGAAAATAGTTAACAGAAAATTGCAAATATTTTTTATAGCCTTTTGTCAGACAAATATGTTTTGGAAATAATATATGTTCTTATAAATATTTTTTTTTTATGAATAATATTTTTTTATAAATAATATTTTCTTATCAATATAAAGTTTTTAATATAAATATATATTTTCTTATAAATAATGTAATATAATAACTACTGCTGTATACAATGTTTTCTAATCTCACTTATTTAATAATTGTTTATTATCTTTTTTTTAACGTTTGCTCTTCTATGTCTTCTCAACTTAACTTAACTGTATAACTTACATGACGCCGCTAACTCTTGCATGCTTGTTAAATAATCACTAAACTGCTGATGAAATGTAATTTACAAAAACAACAATCTATACTGAATTTTAAATCAATTACTTAATGATTACTACATCTACTAATTACAAGCTTGTCAAAATTAGGCAAATAACTTTGAAAAATGAAAATATCAAAAATCATTTGAAAAAATATAAATTTATTTAATTAATATAATGTGTATTGTGTTCCCGTCCCCCCACCACATCACACCACCACAAATCTACAACTACAAAAACTACAACTGTACTACGCTACAACGTCACTATCAACAACAACAACAACAACAAACACAACGTGCAAACTGGACCACGGGACTATTGTGTTAACAAAAAAAAAATGTTAAATAATAAAAATATATATATATGTATATTTAAATCTGTGTTTTGGTCACTACGATGAACAGCTGATGATTGCATGCAAAAGACACGTTATAAAACGCCCGAATCGAAACAAACGAATGCCACTTAAACCTATGTAAAATACGATGTATGAGTAAATAACGGCTTGTGGGTGGTCACAATGTACTAAAACTAAAACTAAAACAAAACACGAACTACTAAATAATACAAATGAATGTATTTAAGTTGTAATAATTGAAAAAAAGTGTTAACAACATCTAGCAACAACCACACTGACTGACTGATGAATTGGCAGTAACAGCAAGGCGGTAGCGCGTCACATGACAAGCTTCACAGCCCAGTAGTAGCCAGATATTCAAAATTGAGTACATAAAACAGTTAATTATTATTATTTAACCGACTGCATGCACCACAAAAAGCTAACCAACTAGAATTCGTATTGAAAATAAGAGCATACAAACAAACACACAGCGCCAAACACGCTCAAGCAACTATGAAACAGCGTGAGGAAAGTAGTTCAGCAGGCTTGAAACTTGGAACTTGACCAAAGGGGAAACACGACGCGAGGCATGTGTTAACAAACAGCATTTTTCGCAACCAAAAACGGAAAAGCCTCCAGCTGAAAACGTCACCAACAGCGTTAGTGGCAGCAAACAGCATGCAACGCGCATTTGTTGTTGTTTTTTGTCCATTTTGTTAGGCACAAAATGCAACTAAAACGCACAACAACAAACACCAGTGTTGCCAGCCTTAACGTTTTGACAGCTTTTGTCCTTCATTTTGGCTCCTGTCTTCCTGTTCATTTATGCAACTCCTACAAATATCAGTACAACAACAAATGCAACTACTCCAACGTTTTTGCCGCAACAAGCAAAAATGTCTGTCGCGTAAGTTTCGTTTCGTCTTAAGTTGTTGTTGTTTCTTTACTTTCTTTGTTTTTTTGGTTTCCCTAGCACTTCTGTAATTTGCTTTAGTTAGTTGTTATTTTTTTCACCACTTTCCTTACAAAAATTTATTTTTCTTTTGTTTTCCTTATCGTTTTGCTGTTGCGTTGTAGTTTTTAGTAGACAAATAGTTTTAGTTCACCCCAAGCACTGCCTTATCCAACCAATATAAGCCCCTTCACCATATACACACACACAAACAAACATATACATGTAGACGCTGTTTATTTCGTTTTGGAATTACTTCCTCTGGTTTTGAAATTTCTTTCTTTCACATGACTCCTATACAGTTCCCTACATATACATACATGTATGTGCTCACTTGGTTTTTATAAATGCTGCATTTTTATGCCCCCCTAGCTAAACACACACAACAACACACATACTTAATTTATAGGAAGAATTATAGCTTGAAAAATTTTACTGTTATTGCACTTAAAAAAAGCTTTTCACGTAGTCCATTTAAAATTATAATTATTTTAAACACTTCACACTCAACAAAATTTTTCAGAAATTTTTTACAACTTTGGTGAGCAACAGTCTTTAAAAATAGTAAAAGTGTAAATTTACCAATGAAGAGCAAGCATCTTCAAATTTGTGCTAAATTTAACTTATATTTTGAGATAAACTTGTCGTTAGCATAATTTTTGAAGCACTCAAAATTTAATTTCCAAGTTCAGAAATTTTTAATGAAAATTATTATTAATTCTGCTTCGGTTTGCGACTTAGCTAAAAAATAATCATAATATTTTCAGCACCTTTGGCTAGTATTTATAAGCCCTAACGAGATTTTTTGCCTTTAAAAAGCCGGCGATTAGATAATCAGTAGATGAATTCCAAGGGTACCACCGAAGAAGGTGATAGGGTGGGATTAAAATCTTTCCACTTAGACTTAACTGAAATTCAAAATTATACATATATTTAAAAATAAAATTGTCACTATATATATATGAATACAGGTAATGATCGAAGGGCTAATCAAAAATTTGATTTTTGACAAAATGGGGGCTTCCCAAAAAAATTTTTTTTGTGAAACAATTTACACGTCCCAATGGCTTGAAAAATCGAAATGTTTGTCTTGAAATTTTATCTTTCGATCATTACCTGACAAATATATCGAAAGAGTTCTTAGAAAATCTCAATTCGATCGGTCCAAACGGTAAATATTTTTATAAATATGTTCATATCTCCGAAACTATTGGTCGGATCAAGCTTAAATTTTCGGAGAATATTCTTAAATATTTGCACATTCGATATATATGCATATAAAACAGTCGGTTTTTCGAAATTCACAAGTGGATATAACCAATAAAGTGCTCTCTTGACAAACAAGATTTGATATTTTTTTGCCGATTATAGATAATAATACAGCGAATGAATTTCAAAAACCTTTCTTTTTGGTCAAAAATATTTTATAAATCATATTTCGCCTAGTTGTGGGTATCTGCAAAATATATGTATGTATATATAAAATATTTTGATTTTTTTTTTAATTTTCAAAACACTTGTAGGTTTCATATGCAAAAATTTCGATATCCAAAAAATTTACATTAAAATACATTTTTTTTTGTACAAAAATTTTGACATCCCTAACGATAATTTTTCGCCACAAATATAGTCGTCTTAATATAATGTATAGTTGTTGTTGTTATTTGCTTCAAGTTTTTATTTGCAAATGTCTTTTTCAAGTTGAAGTTTCAGCTAGGCAAGGTAACCAAACGCTGCTTCACAATAAATTTTTTTTTTCATTAAATTTTTTATAAAAACTCATTAAACATGTGGAAAATTGTAAGTTTTAAATTTTAAATTCAATTTAGTTTTGGTGCTCGTGATAAAAAAAATTTTTAGAATAAATAAATAAAAAAAGTACAATATAAGAAAATATCAAAATAATTTTAAAAAAAGTACCCAGAATAATATAAAAATTATATCAGAATACTTGTTTTTTATAAAATTATATTTATTTTTATGCTTCTTGACAATATTTTTCAATACAAATTTTTAATATATTTTTATAGTATTGTATAAAATTTGTTATGTAAATTTGGAATTAATATTTTTATCTTTTTTATAAAAAAATATCAGAATTTTTTTTTTAAGAAAAGCATATTAGTTTTTCGTTTCGTGAAAATATTTTGAAAATTTTTTTTATCCATTTTTACTGTTTAGAAACAGTTTTTATAAATATTTTTTGGAATTTATATGTTTAGCGAGTCAAAAAAATTTGTATTTACTTCAAATAATTTTAATTTTCCTTATAAATGATGCAATTTTAATATTATTATCAACTAAGTTAAAATTATCACGAGCTTGCCAAATAAATTTAGTGTCACTATTGTAAATTGTAATTATTTTTTGTTTGTGTATTAAATTTATAAAAGTAAATAACCCGAAACTTTTTTGTTGGTTGCAGTTGGTGCGCGGTGTGAGCAAGCACTCTTTATACATACATACACTTATTTATTTTCAATGCTTTGTTATATATTCCCAATTATATATTTTTTGTCTTATTCACTTTATTTAATTGTGTTTATGTGCCACTAACACTTTCAACGAAGGCAAAAAACCTTAAAATTTTGTATAGCATGATTACTCCAAAGTCCGAAAATTAAATTTGCACACACATGCATATATTAATTGTTCTCCCGCTCAATTTCCGCTAAACACTCAACTCTAGCATTACTCGTTTATTAATTGTTTGCTTTTTTATTTTTCTATTTTCTCCCTACTTTTTCCAAAAATCAAAACAAAAACAAAAACAAAAATCCTTTGGCCTTTCTTGCACGCTTACAGCATTCACTGCTCTATGAGCTGCTGCCAGCTTACAAACCGAATGAAAACTCTGTCAACTCCGCAACTGTACAAAATTGGCGACAACAACAATGGCAACAGGTGCTGACACAAGCCTTGAACAACCATGGCACTGGTGCGGCCGAGCGCGTGGCTTACCATCTCACAGACGGCCACAGCGTAGGCGGTAGCGCGCTTTCGCCCACCACCTACGCGACGCGTACGCAGCCGCTTCAGCTGAGCGTAAATCTGCAGCTGAAGAGCAAAAGTAAGGATCATTATAGTTTTGTGCGCGCCTACGAGTTGGAGGAGCAAACTAAATTGCAACAACAACCGGTGCGTAAGATGAACTCGCTGCTGCCGGAGGTCAGCATACCCAGCTTTGATTATTACTACTCGAACGAATCGCTGCGCAGTTCGGATCGTGGCAGCGATAATTTGCTGGTGACCTTCGATTATGGCTATAGTGACTCATTGCTCGAGGCGACAAGCGGTAATGATGATTTTAGCATTGAGCAGAAGCAATCACGCATTGCTCGGCCCGAACTGCGTACGGTCTATCCAATCAAGGAGGAGTTGGAGAGCGCGCCACTGTGTGAGAACCTGAATTTGTGGCAGCGCAAACAAGCGGCTGTCGGTTGTTTGGATAAATATGAGGATGATGATTACAGTGATAGCTGGGAGCAAAAAGAGGAGGACGAAGAGGCGTATGAGAATATTTGGTTTAATACAGCGTTGACGCGCAGTCAACAGGCGGAACGCAATAAAACGCGTTTTGGTTCTGATGCAGCATTCAAAGTGCATCATATGCAACATGATGCAACTTTTGAGGAATACGGATATGATGATGATGCAGAGGAGGAGGAGGAGGTAGAACAGAGTATCGATGTTTCATTAGATGCGCGCAAGAACGGCACTGAGAGTAGTCATAGCGCGGTCAGCGCTAATAGTTTCTACTATCGTCAGCTGGCGTTAGACCCGTGGGGCAAGGAGGCGGTTGTCATTGAAGCGACGGTTGCACAGAAAGTGCATGAAAATGCAGCGGAGGCCGAAGAGGAAGAGGAATTTTTTGATAGCCTGAATTAAGCGGCGTGTTAAGCACTATATGATTCCAACTTTATTAATTTTGCTTAAAACTGTGTTTCTTTTAATTGTTTGTGTGTTTCGCATAGTTCAATTTTATATTAATTTCTTTTTAGCAAAATATTTTTTTTTAAATTTTTTTTGTATGCAAATATTTAAATTTTTTTGAGATATTTATTCATTTATTAAAAATAGGCGCACTGAATTATTAATCATACAGTTATTTAGTAAAGAAATACAAAATTTTCTTAGCATAACTTTGAAAAATGCAAAATTTATCAAAAGTTAAAATTTGATTTTGCAAATATTTTAAAAAATTCAAATTTAAATTAGAAAATGCAATGTTTCGAATTAATATTTGATTTATTTGTTGTTAAGCGTCAATAGGTTTTCGCTGTATTTTGAATTTTTTTTGTATCGTGCATTGTAGATTTTGTATTTTTTCGCCTTTAAAAATTATATTATTTTTATTTTAGCATTTATCCACAAATATGGCTACTTATTTACAATACTAACACAACACTTGCACTTATGATGTATGTATGAGACACTGTAATACGTATATTTATAAATTTCTAAATAATAACTCATTACTAAAATTATACATAATATTATATTTATATACATATAACACACTGCAATAACTTTATTTCATAAATTTTTCTTAAAAAAATATTGAAATTTTCTTTAGTAATACACTTTCAAAGATGTATGTACGAGTATGTACATATATTGGTTTGAGCGTTTCAAAATTGCATTTTTGTTTTAATAGTTGGTTAAAGTGCAGAAAATATACAAAAAAACAGTATACTTTAAGTGATTTATTTAATATTTTGTTCATTATAAAAGCAGCTATTTATATGTGGCTTAATGGCGGAGTAGCTTAAGTCAAGTTTCGCGAGAAACTAGGCGTGGTATTGTTGGCATTATATAAGTAAAAGCGTTTAAATAAACATTGGACGTTTTCGAAAATTATATTTTACGATGAAATTCTTTGAATTTATCTCACAAAAATGTTTGTATTAGAAAAATTATTTTTGGTTTAAAATTTAAACCAAATTCTTTATAACCTCAAACTAACATAATCAACTTAAGCTACTTTTCCATACAAACACAGTTATGTTACACACCTATTCGTTGCAAATAAATTTAATTAAATTTTCTATCATAGAAAAGTTGAAATTGCATATCTCTATATAAACAATTTAATTACAATTTCAAATACTTTTATATTTACCTACAAAAAATTGCATAAAAAACATGTCACATTGCCTACCATAGAAACCCATGTCGCATTACCGACCATATACAATTTTAAATTGTATTACTATTTATAAATAATTGAATTACAACTTTAAATACTTTATTGCATGTAAGTTTGTTTTCAACTTGTTGTTATTGTTGTACCGGCAGAATTATGCCAAGTTGACAGTTCTTTGCCAGATAAACCCGGGTCCGTTCCGGTTACGTAGAAACGACTGTAGTGTGAACGGTTTTTAACTTCAGTTATACGCATATTTGCATATTATTATTATTCTAGTTTGTTTATTTTTCCTTATTAAAATATTTATATGCTACATTACTAAATATTAAGAAAAAGTTCCTTATTCGCATTGTCGCTCAGAGAGTAGTAAACATTTTGTAAATGCGTCAATAAATTTGTATTAAAGTTTTTTTAAAAATAATTAAAATAAATTAAATGAAAAATTTGGAAAAATAACAACAACAAAGCATTCAAGTAATCAAAAGTATATTTTGCATATGTGATTACAGCTTAGTAATGACTACTTTTCTTATATTACAGTTAAGTGGAAATAATTCTAACGTTAGTCATTATAAAAATCTTATTGTGAGACATAAAAGATCCAAAAAGCAAAAGAAAACTAGTCTTAAAAGCACACGTGTGAAACTGGGTTAGTTGGCTGCGCGTTTTAATTATTTCTAACGTTAAAAACATTAAATTATTGTAAAAAAATTAAATTGAGAAAAAAATGCTTTAGAAGTAATTATATACATGGGTGTAGGTACGGCTGCGCATGCTACATACATATATAATAACATAAAAAATAAATACAACAAAATAAATAAAACCTAAAAATCATTAATTTTCATAATTAATAAATTAATTATATTTAGTATGAATATTTTTTAAGCATTTGCATGCATATTTTGTATAAAAAATGAATTAAATTAATATTTAAAGATACGCAAGCCTATTGTAACAGTTAAATTACTTAACTGTGAATTTAATAATAAATTCTGTTTGATAAATTGCATAAAAATAACATAAATAAATATTTGTAAATTTATACTTATATATTAAAAAAATATTTTTTTTTGCAAATAAAATAACTCTTTTGTAATATAAATTATTATTATTTTTAATCAAATTAATTTTAAGCGCAAATTGTGTAGAAAAAGTAATAATTTAATACTTAGGCAACAAAATATGTTCAATTTTTTTTGTTAATTTTCTTATAAATAGTCTATGAAAAATGATTTCATTATGCAAATTTTATATTAAAGTAATCACTTACATATAAAAATATAATTTATCACATACTTTCTGCTATTATATATATGTATGTATTAAGAAGCTCTTCATATAATTTTTACCGTTATAATATGTTCATACATATAACATGACACTGTAGCAATACACAAACAGCCTCATGAAATGTATGTGCGATCATATAGATACATACATATGTGAGTAAAATATTAGCAACTTTGTATATAGACTTGAAGACTTGTGTGCGCGACTATTCTTGACTAAAGCATATATTTATTATTATTAAATGCATATGATTGTATTATTAAATGCATCTATAATCCACAAGTACTATAAGTCTACTTATAAATATTATAGTAACTACAAGTGTACTATAAACATTTATCCTATATATTCTATATTATCAATTATACTTATAAGTGCATATTTAGGTTTTTGTTTTGCTCTGCTATTTGAGAAATGATTGCAAATGATTATATATAACTATTATTGCATTACTGATTGATTACATAACTGTAATGATTGTAACTATTATTATTATATATTATATTTATATACAGCAAGATAGTGCAGTTAATAAATATACACACATATGTAAATGAGAGATCATTTAAAAATATAAGGAAATAAATATTAAAATGTGAAATATTAAAAAAAACCTTAGTTTTATTGTAATTCACTGCTAGTGGTAAATAATTCCATTGGTGAGGTTATACCAAAGTATTCACATGCAAAGGTTGTTTTGTTGTAGGGTTCGCTGGCGATTTAACAGTTGTTGACCGGTTGTAAATGTGGATTCAGTCCTATTACATAGGCACCTAACTGTGTTATAACGGCTTAAACTTCTCCATATAGCAAAATTATTTTAGACGCTTAGACTGGCTCATAAGCAAGAGACTAGTTATCTTTTAGCAGGTCTACACCAAATTTCAGTATGCTTGTTATAAGCCCCGGCTGGGATGACCTTCACCAAATTTTTTTTTTTAAATTTTGGCTCATTTTTGAAGCGCTATTCGCTAGATTGTTGGATAGTTTCGACGTCATAACGATAGACTCACGTCTCGTCACCGGTAATGATGCGTTTGATGAATGTTGAATCCTCAGCTACGTTGTCAGGCATTGATCTTTAGTATGATAATGATAAAAGATATGCCAAGCGCGTCACACTTGTCACGATTAGCTGTCTGTTAGATGTCTGACACTTACGCCAGACACAGTTTTCAAAAGGGTTAGCCCAATACCACCTTTTGCTCTCTCTCATCCGATTATTATGGCATTGGCGAAAATCAGTTTTATCTTGCGTTATATGAGGAAAATTGTGAACCGGTTACATATTGGCAGCATATTAACTTATACTAGATGGCAAGTCTAGTAAGTTTATCGGAATCCATATCAGCAGTTATGGGTTTTCATCAGGTTATAGCAAGCAAAACATTATTCTCGTAAGGTAACAAAACTCATGCACTCTTGTTTGAGGAAAGTCCGACAAGTACTCAGTTTCCGATTCGAATGGCGCCACCATTATAACAAAATTACCATTATTTTCAAGAGGTATTGTTAAAATTTCAGCCGAATTGGACCTTTAGTTTTATTTTGACCGCATCTAGAAGCGGGAGTATCTAAAGAATTCTAGGATAATGTAAAAATATATAAAATGTATACATATAATACCTATGTTGATAAAAACACCACATACTCACCACGATTCAACATATCAATAAAATAAAATAAATATTTTGTATAGTTTCGAGAGTAATAGTTTCAATTTGTTTTATTTATGTAAGTATTTTTCGCCTTTTTCGAATCATACCTTTTCACAGTACGAGTTTGCATTTTTTATGTAATAATTGAAATTTATATAGACTATATTATAATTATATGTTTTCCTTTGGTATGTAAGTATGTATGTCTTTTTTAAGAAATTTGCAAAGCTGTATTACCTATCAATATAGGTATACAGTAAATCGACTATGGAAACATTCTTTATGGAATATGAGCTGCTGATCGTTACTTACTTTAGATGCTCAGGAGGTAATATTTGTAACATATGTTTGAATATATTTATATATAATATTTGTTATTAATTTTTCGAAAAATATCAAACCAATGATCGCTACTTTTCGCTGATATCAGCATTAGTTACTTTTAAGGGGTTATGCCAATTTAGTATTTTCAAAATTATTTATCGAATGTAACCACGCCATTAAGAGTAATAAATGTCTTTTCAAACTTTATGCTAATTTTTCTCGAAGTTGTTTTATTTTCAGAGTTGATCAGCATAGCTTTATCGAATCGACTGGATCCATCATTTAGAAATTAAAAAAAAAAAAAATTCGAAAAAGCGATTTATTCGGGAAGTCGCCATTTTGCTAAAAAATTTCAGTTTAATACTGCCATAATTATTTATACCTATTTGCCTATCCTGAAAATAAATCCTTCATTATGCCCTAAACAGTGTGTACACATATTAAGTTTGACACGAAGTTTTTAACAACCGTAGCAAATGTCGGAGACTCTATAAAGTATATATATTATATTTGATCAGCGTGACGAGCTAAGGCAATTTAGCCATTTCCGTCTGTTGGTCTGTATATACGTGAACAAGTCCCTCAATTTTTGAGATATTGCACTGAAATTTAGCACACGTCTTTTTTCTCAAAGAAGGCTCATTGGTCGGAACCGACAATATCGGACCTCTATAGCATATAGCCGCCATACAAGCTGAATGATCAAAGCGTGGATTACTGTTCAAGGCAGGCATATAGCTGTCATACAAACTGAATGATCAAACTCAAGTCCTTGTATGGAAAACTATTTTAATTGTGATTTATTTGAAAAATCATGATTTAATTAAATGATATTGAGGACTGAAAAAAGGAGCAATTGCTATGTGTTTTTTTGAGTACAGATGATAAATAAGCTTATACATATATAAACATATGTTACAAAATTATATCGCCAGGTATTTAGTTAAAATCCGTCCAGCATTGCCATGCTCATATAATACCTGTATACGTTCAGTGGAAAAGTACAGTTAGTTTTACATATGTAATTACATGATCGGAGGGATAGACACAGTAAATGGTTGTCACTATTGAAAATTTATATTCAAATATACTCGTACATACAATGCATTTGTATATAATATATTCAAGTTTATTGCTATTTAATTTTAAATATTTTCTTATGTGCGTACTTCAAGTAAGACTTGGCTATCATTTGACTGCTTGCAATGCAATATGCTTTCACTTTAGCGATAAATCGTTAAATAATTTTCCAAAAGAACAAGTTTTTTTTTTCAATTTAAGTGATCACTTAATTGCTATTTCTCACAAAGTTTTACGGTTGCAAATGTGCAAACCGCGTTGTTTTTTTTTTTTTGTTTTATATTTTTTGCTTTGTAAATTTATAAAGATTTTTTTGTTCTTAAATTTTCAGTGGAACTTTTAAACGCGCATATTTGTTTTATTTTGTTGCTATATTTTTCAATTTGTTGAAAAACTTACTTTTATTGCATGCAAAATATTTAATTCAATTAAACACAGTAAACGCTTGTAGAACAATATTTGCTTTTTATCATTTAATTACTAATTAATTTAACTTTTGTTTTTGTTTGAGACATCACTGTTTGCTGGTAGTCATAAATACTTTTGCTGGAAAGTGTGTATTTCCTAATGAATTTTATGCATTTAACTGTTATTCAATAGCATTGCCAGTATACAAAGTTAAGTGGATCATTAGGGCACCACAAATTGTTCAAATTTCATTGTGTAAATTTCTTTTACAACATGTGGTTTTTTTGTATTTGCCTAAAATTTACAAAATCTCATTCTCTTATAAATTTTTTTATGTAATCGTATAATATTTAATTGTTTGTATGTATTTTTTTTATCGATACTTTAAACCACTTTTCACATTTCAACTTAATTAGTCACCAATTTCGATTCAATTACTATTCATTTCACATTATATTTTTTATAATTTTTATTTTTTTATTTGCAATTCTTAGCGACTAGCGTCGAGTTTTGTAAAGAGTGTAACAACAGAGCGTCGGACGCTGCAAATATTGAACAGCCAATCGCTCTTCTACAGTAAGTATAGCACCATGTAAATGAAACATTTCCGATAGAATTCCAAGTGATAGAGCATAATTGTAGTTTACAGTTAGAAATTATATTATACAATACTAGTTAGTAGTTAGTTATGAGGGTTATGCGCGTTTTAACAACAATTCAATTACTTTTCTGATTACATTCATATAAAGTAATTAGTTTTTACATTTTATAAGTATAACTCTATGTACTATATGGTAAGGACAGTTAGATGAGTTCGTATAAAATATATTTATGCATATGTTTAGAGTAGTTGTATGTAAATGCACGAGATAGTAGGTAGATATAGTATATGATCGAGAGAAAAAGTTTAGAAAATATTTTATTTGCCTTAATGTAGAATCGATTATTTTATAACGGCATTTTTCATGCTAAATACATAATTTATCTTAAATCTTACTATATATGTATGTATGTATATATGTATATATTTTGTTGTCTTTTTAATGTTTGTATTTAATTTAAGTGACTTTTTCTCCTGCTTCTTTAGCTAATTTTATTTTGCAGCAATCGTAAAAGAACTGAAAAAAGAAAACATCTGTCTATAAATTTTAAAATTATTTTCAACCGACTCCATCAATACTTTCTTGTAAATTGTATAAAAGATAAAAATAAAGTAATATTTACACTGTTATTTTTATCAAAATATGTGAGACCTATTAACTTTTTATATACCAGAACGATATATCGTGCGTTTGGTGGAAATTACCACTGACTGACTTAAACTGTCACTCGAAGCTATTGTTTCAACGTTAGCAGTCATAATGATATAAGTCATAATTTTTAGACTAGGTGTACCCCCTAGTGTAACACCCTTAAAAAGGTGAATTGATAATTAAAAAAAATATACATACTGTAAAGATTTAAGGGTATACATGTTTTAGGGTGACATAGTAAAATTATTTGAAGAAACAAATTAAAGATCTCCACCGATGCAATGATTTCGGATGAAACCTATGAAAACTTCTCGCTAAACTGAATGATATTGTCCATACAATGTTATATTGACAAATATAAAAAACGCAGGAAAATTTGACGAAATGTCATAAAAAATGTTATTTATGTATGACGCGCCTTGACACACGTTAGCGATAAAAACTAATCACTTATGACTCCAAATTAGAAACTGCGATAGGTGTTATCTTTTGACACGAAGAATTTTGCAATTTAAACATCGGTCGTTTATTGGAAACAATCAAAATTGTATTAGATTCTTTAAAGCTAGATAGTGGCGAATCGAATAAACGGCTGGCATAAATCTAATAAACTGGCATAATCAGAAACCGATATAATACATATAAAGCCATTATATCCTTTTAATAAAGTAGCTCTATGGTCTCTTGCATTGTATTCAACTGAAAAACTTTGTGAGTTTTTGACGACTAAGGCAGATCAAAGATTATTCAATATTCGAAATAGATTAAACAAATTATCAACATACGTCGATCGAGCACTTTGGTACCGAGATTGAGAAAAGAACAAACAGGCTTTTTGTCCAGAAAGCTGCTTCATTGGTAAGGTAAATGGCCTACTTGTTATG